AAAAACTAAACCACAGATCCAGGAATTTCAGAGAAAGCCAAGCAGATACTTCAAAATCTACCCTTGGGATATCATATTCAACCTGCAGATATCAAAGACAACAGGAAAAAGAAGCTAGAGGGCAAAGAAATCTGATAACAGAAGAAAAAGAATCAGAATTATATCATATTTCACTCCAGAAACTGTGAACAAGAAGAGAATGGAGGGAAATGTCTTTCAGAAACCTGGAATCCAGCAAACTAATGCTCAAAAAATGAAGGAGAAATAAACATTTCTTCAGAGAAACAAAAATCATCACATCATTAGATCTACCTTACAAGGTAGGCTAAAAGAATTCTGCTAATAGTACTAGTGAGGGTGGTTCAAATATGGGTTTGCAAGTGTGAGTCAGATGATGGTGATGAGGCCAGCTGCAGGGTCCCTGTGGTACTCAAACATTATAAGCTGGGACTTGGATGCCTGACTCTCTGTAGCGCAGGTACAGGATGACTGATCACACAAGATGTTTTTGAACCCAAGACCTTGAACTTAAAGGGAACTCTCTGAAAAGCGAAAGTGAGCATTGGTAATAGGAGACAGGACAGTCATTTAAAGAATTGCCACACAGAACCTTCTATTTTTCAAGTACCAGAAATGAAAGAAAAATGAATCAGGAGACTCTGGTAAACATCTACACTCTAGTGCAGTAAATACATGAATGGTGTAAGCAAGTGCAATACCTAGGAAGTGGTGGAGGAGAAACCTTGTACAACAGAGAAATTGTATACTATGAAATGAAAGGTCAGTATAATTGACCAGGTGTGGTAGGAGGATCAGGAGTTAGAGGTCAGCTTGAGCTTGAGACATTGTCTCAAAATTCAACCAACAAACTAAAATCTGTTTCAGAACAGGGTAGATAAATGCACCAACACCCATTAGAATATTTAGGAGAAGCTCCAGGGTACCTCCTGTTTACTCTCTGAGCAACAAAGGGTCTCTACCCTTTCTAACAAGTGGAATTCCTTCCTCATTCTCCCAGGAGATAAATAAGACACCCCCGAGGCTCACAGGAGCCTCTAGTTCCTCCAGAATACTTGGACTTACACTGCTCTTTCTCCTCTTTTAATTTCACATGTTTCTTACCTATATTATGAATTTTGGAAGGTAAAACATGGTATAAATGTTGCTTTCTTGGCTTTAGGCCAAGTAAATTTAAAAACAGATTGCTGCTGGAACAAATGCAGACCAAAAGACTAATGAAACAGCACAGAAAACACAGAAGTACCAGAAGATTCCAAAACATACAATGGAGAAAGGATGAACTCTTCAGCAAAGGATGCTGGGGCAAGTGGGTACCCACCTGCAGGAGAATGAAACTTGACTACTCTCTCTCATCTTGTATTAAAATCAACTCCAAACGGATCAAAGAACTCAAAGAAAGATCTACAACTTTAAACCTAGCATGCTAAATAGAACAAAGCAAAGTGAACAGATAGTTCTCCAAAGAATACAAATGACTAATGGGATCTGGGTGCTGGCTCACGCCTACAATCCTAGCTACTTGGGAGGCTGAGATCTGAAGATTGTGGTTCAAAGCTAGACTGGGCAAGAAAGTTTGTGAGACTCTTATTTCCAATTAACCACCAAAAAGCCAGAAGTGGACCTGTGGCTCAGGTAGTAGGGTGCTAGTCTTGGGCATAAAAGCTCAGTCAGAGACAGTGCCCAGGCCCTGATTCAAAGCCTAAGTCTGGCACACATGCAAAAATAAATGGCTAAAAGATACAGGAAATATTCGACATCCTTGGCCCTGAGAAAATGTAAATACAAACCACACTGATTCCATCTCACCTCAGTCAGAGTGGCAGCCATCAAGAAAACAATGGCAATGCTGGTGAGGATGGGAGGACCTTCATATGTTCTTAATAGGATTCTGACTACTGCAACCACTATAAAAATCAATATGGAGATTCCTCAAAAAACTAAAAATAGACCTCCCTATAAACCCATTATACCACAATTAGGCATATACTTAAAGGATTGTAAATTAATAGAAAGGATATATGCATAACTATGTTTATTGCACCTCTGTTCACAAACAATGGAATCAGTTGAACTACCCAACAACAGATGAATGCATAAAGAAATTGGGATAGATGAAGTTAGATATAAGTGATATAGATATAGATATTGATGAGCTAGATATACATATGCTATGGAATATTGCACAGACATAAAAGAAAAATACCATCATGCCATTCACAGGAAAATGGATAGAACTGGAGATTGATTGAGATAAGCCAAGCTCAAACGCCAAATACCATTGTTTTATCATATGTGGAAGCTAGACCTAGAAGATACACATACTCATAGGCATGTACATACATATATATGCTTGTATACATAAAGCGTGTATATATAAATCCATAGTACATGTATCTAACTAGGGGACTGCTTAAGAGAATGAGGGGAAGAGGAAAGGGAAAAATGAAGGATGGAGGTGAATAATTTTGCAATACAACTCAACCCTGTATAATTGTGGGATAAAGCATATCAATGATAGCTATTCACAATAGGGTTGGAATGCAAGGAAAGATAGGCTCTGTTAGAGGCATAGTTATCACCAGAAGGGGGTTAAACTAACTGAGAGGGTGAATCATGATGAATATCCTTGAAATAGCTTGTTTGCATCTATGAACATAGAGCAATGAAGCTAGTGAAGGTTGCATTGGGAAGAGAAGAGGAGTTAAGGGAGACTGATGGAGGCTGCAAGATTGACTGAAATATATTGTAAGCATATGTGGATATGTCACAATGAAACCCTCCTTGGGCAATTAATATACACTAACAAAAAAATCTTCAGAAGGGGAAATATTACATAGATTAGAAACTCAGATTTGCATTAAGAAAAGACATGTACTAGAAAAGAAAAAAAAACTGAGAGTAAAAGAATTTTTAATTCTTTATCTTAGCTTATCTAACAGGCAATAGCTTATTGTTGTTCATAGCAAATAGGGTTATGGATAAGAGAAGTGCATGCAGCCATGCTATAAAGATGAGACAGAGAAGTCTTATATGGTTCTTGTTCTGTCCGTAAGTAAGTGGTATAATGTTGTTTACAAGAGGATGTGAATTAGCTCTGAATGAGTAGTGCAAACTCAAGGGAAATGAAAAAAGTATAAATAATATGTCAAGGAGCTGTAAAAAGGGAATAGTATAAATGTTCAGTTAAAACCAGAGAAGGTTAAAAAAAAGTATAGAAAGAAAAAACTAAAAACAAGAGCAATGTGTAGTAAAAGGTAATCTACTTTGTTTCCTTGAGATTCTGGGCCTTGTGTATACAAAGCAAATATAATAAAAATAGTAGCAAAGCAAAATAAGTATAATGAAGTCTACCAAAAACCTATCTTTGGCTGAATGCGGGTGGCTTATACCTATAATTCTAATAGAGACAGATCTGAGATTCGAGCTTTGAAAACATCCTAAGCAGACAAATCCATGAAACTCTTATCTACGGTTAACCAGTAAAAAGCCAGATATGGGGCTCTGAAGTCAAGCCCTAGTACACATGAACACACACACACACACACACACATACACCAAAAACAAAAACAAACAACAGAGCCACCAGACACTATAATCCCAGCTACTCAGGAGACTGAAATCCAGAGGACCAAAGTTCAAGAAAAGAAAACAAATTAATCCTTGAGACTCCAACTCCAAAATAATCATCAAAAACTAGGGTTGGAGGCATGGTTCAACTGATAGAGCACCAGTCAAGAATGTAAGTCTAGAAAGCATGAGGCCATGAGTTCAAACCCTGGTGCTGGCAACAAAGAAACAAAAACACTAAGTTTGCTCATGAAGCATACCTCAATGTCTTGACAGTTTGCTTTCAAAACTCCTTTTCTACAACTATATAGTGTTCTAGTGCTTGCTTGTTCAGTCCCTAAGACAGAACTGCTTCTTATGTGGAGAGATCTTCTGAACAGAGAGGCCAGGGGCTGACATGTGTCTCACCATGCATAGCCAGTCCTGCCTAAGCTCCAGAAATCTTTCAGCAGTGCTGAACTGTAGCCCACATAGCCCAGGGAAGCCTGCTGGGGGACAAGGCTAAGTCTGGCTAATGATTGAGCCATCCAAATATTGACAGAGTCCAGGACCCACCACTGCCCAAGCGTATGCCTCTGTTCTACTCTCCTGCCCTCTGGATCCTTGTCACAGGACACAGCAGGGACTTTGAAGCCTGCCACATTCCCACCCAGACTTTCCCACTGAGGCAAATGGGGGAACTCCTTTAAGTCTCTTTCCCCATCATCATAATGAACGGAGGCCATCTGGTAGCAACAAGAGGACAGTGGTCACCATGGGCCAAGTGTCTAGTTTATACCTGCAGTGAAAGTGCCCAGCACAGCACCTCTGCAACCTCTGCCACACAGCTCTTTCCACACAGAGTGGTGCCTTCAAGGGCTTCTTGGCCTCCCCTGAAGTCTTGGCCTGCCTACAACTTCTACAGTCCCTCAGCACTCCCGAACTTGTCCGATCTCATTCATTAGCACATTCACATCTCTCCTTCCCATATCTTTTCCCCTTGGGCTGAATTGGGTGAGTTAGTCTTCAGGAAGCAAGGCTCAGCCTTCAGCCCCACCATTGGGTTGTGACCATTGTCATCATCTCCTATAGCTGAATTTTTCCACAGTGTCAGAACACATTAGCTGATGTCCCCCTTCTCCAACAGTTTAGACATGGTAACCTCAGTCTTTGGCTTTCCTGAAGGGGCCAAGAAAGAAGGAAGGCAGAGCCACCTCCGATCACTACTCTTTTTCACTGTACATAATTGCTTGTGGAACTAAATAAGATCCTGCTCATAAAGCACGTAACATCTAGTAGACAGTGAATATAGGCTATCTCACTTTAGCCCAGAAAAGGGATAGGAGGACAGACTGAACTACAAGCTGGTATGTTTGTGACATGCCCCTTTAATGTGCCATTGTCTGCCATTCAGCAGCCCAGCTCCACTCCAAGAGTGGCCTCGAGGGAGCAGAGGTGGTTGGAGAGGGGGTGCTATAGTGTCTAGGTTGTGAAGGAGGCATCTTTGTCCCGCATGTGGCTGTGGATCCAGTCGAGGTAGCGGCTGACTTTGGTATAGACACCATAGTTGTTAAGAAGCCCACAGCCCTCACCCCAGCTCACCAGGCCCACCAGGAACCAGGTGCCTCGGGAAAGAGCAACCATGGGCCCTCCACTGTCACCATCACAGGCATCCCGCCTGTCCCCCAGGATCCCTGCACACAGCATGTTCTCTGAGACCACACTGTTCATGGCTTCGATGCACTCATTGCGAGGGGCCACGGGAATCTTGATGAAGGTGAGGATGAAGGTTCGGTTTCTCTTGACATCCTTTTCTCGGCCATTTTGATAGCCCCAACCTGTCACCACTGTCTCCTGGCCAGCCTGAGTGAGCTCACGCTCTGCAAGGCCAATGTCTGGGAGACATATGGGCACTATAGTCTTGGAGAGAGTGACAGGCTGAGCCAGGTGGATCAGAGCGATGTCATTGTCACTGGTGCGTCGGGTATAATTGGGGTGGACAAGGATCTCCTTGATGTCTATGTCCACCTCCCACTTGTCCCTGCGCCGTAGGTCATACTCTCCTGCAGGAAAGAGGGCATTGACAGGATGGGGACCCTTAGAGGAGTCCACAAGACTGTGGTCAGCCTGAGCGTGGGCCTGAAATGGGTCCATATCTGGGGATAGTTCACCATCTGTTCCAGGCTTTGTCATGGGGCTACCTGTCTGTACATTGAATGACTTTTCCTGCCAGAAAGAATGGCCCACAAGTATTAAATCCTAAGGGGTCAAAATTCTGATCTGGATTGGGGACTTACATGAAGATCAGGGAAGCCCAAGGCCCCCAGAGACTCGTGGTCACACTTGAATTCCAAATGGAATGTGTAACAACTGTAGCTGAGAGAAGTTCAGGGGCAGCAAAAGCCGAATAGGAGGACCAAGAGCACATTATACCAGAAGAGAAGAACATCAGGTGAGCGAACTCAGGACCTGGTAGTCTCACACTAAGCCCCACTGGGGGCAACTACCATGTCAAGGTAAGGAGCATTAATTTTTTCATTCATTCTCAATAAACCTCTTCCTTCTTTTTGCATCGAGTCAAATAAGGATCCCTTCTGAAACTGTCATAGAGGAGGGCTTAGGTGTAGAAACTCCCAGACAGCTGAGGAGGATGTTGGCAAGGCCTCAGCCGCAACAGTCTACATGAAGTCTTGCTCTGAGGTCAAGTCATTGTGGGTCTATGGACTGCAGGGAACTAGTTAGAGCACACACAGCCTGCTCCACTTGAAGGTGAGTTAGGAAACAATGACATGTGTGACTCCTCGCTTACATGGATGCCCAAACTTAAGGAGAACATCGGAGAATCTTCTGGCTTCCTGGAATCATAGGGTAGGCAGGGTACATGTACATAAGCCTCTTTCCTAAATCACCTTCTATAGATCTCAAGGTTTAGTCCCTAAACCTGGATGGTCTACTAGGTTTCCCCACCCCACCACAAGCCTTTTGGCATCCCCTCCCTCATGGCACCAACCCGCACCAAGTCTGACAGAGAGCTTCTTGGACTCATCCATGCAGTGGGCCGCAGTCAGCACCCAGGAGGTATGAATGAGCACTCCCCCACAGGCCAGCTTTTTCTTCGAGTCCAGCAGGATCACCTGGAGTGGGGTGAAGTGGTGACATCACAGGGATGTTTCTGATGCCACTGGTCAAATTGACATACACAGACTTAAAGTCTTTTTCTGGCATTTTCTGCTTAGCACATTGTACAGTGTTAGGCAGCCTGCCTTGGACCATCTCCCTGCCTTGTTGTTCCTGTGGTCATCAGCACAATAACACCACACAGTGTTTCTCCGCCCTAGGACATTCGGACCAGGATCTGCAGCCTCTGGGAAGATTTGTGGTACCCAGGCTGTCTTGGGTGTGCCCCATGGATCTCTCTCAGCTTATTTTCTGATGGCCCTCCTGTCTGTGATCCCAAGGGCTGCCCAATGTTTAGGGTCCTTATATTCCCCAAGGGCAGCTGTCAGTTTCTATTTGTTCCCAGCCCAGTGCTTTGATAGAGGAGAGTAAAAAACGTGCCAGTTCAGGCTGGAGAGGTGCTCAGCCTCCTGGCCCTGTTCTATGCAGGACATAGGACATTAGCAAGGCTTCTTGAGCCCTTCCTCCACCCCCAAAGTTTCATCTTTCCAGTTTTTGTTTGTGTTTTTGTTTTTGGTGTGTGTGCTGGGGACAGGGTGCTACTGGGGCTTTAACTCCGGACCTCACCCTCCTCCTTGGCTGTTTTTTACTCAAGAATGATACTTTGTAACACTTGAGCCACAGCTCCACTTTCAGCTTTACTTTGATATAAGAGTCTCATGGGCTTATCTGCCAGCACTGGATTTGAACTGTGATCCTCAAATGTCAGCCTTCTGCGTATCCAGCCCTTTTATTTGGGGAGGAGGGGTCAGTTGTGGGGCCTGAACACTGGGCCTGGGTGCTATCTCTCAGCTCTTCAGCTCAAGGCTGGTGCTCTACCACTTGAGCCAGAGCTCCACTTCCAGCTTTTTTCTGCTGATGTGGTGCTGAGGAATCAAACCTAGGGCCTCATGCATGGAAGGCACTCATGCATGGAAGGCAAGCGCTCTACCACTGAGCCACCTTCCCAGCCCTCCAGCTCTTTTAGAATGCAACAACTCTCCTTCCTTCAAGTTCCCTTCCATGGTAGCACAGCTCACTGACCCTGCTCTGCCTGTTCCCCTCATATCTGGTCATCTGTCTTTCCCAAGGCCCATCTAGCCTTCTCAGTCCCCACCCCCACCCCCGCCTGCCCTGTTGCCCAAGGAACAGTAGTGTTTCCTTCCCCACTTCTACATCCTGACAGGAACCCCAAGGAGGATTTATTCACCCCTGCCTCAACAAATGAGGAGATATTCATGGCCTTTCATCTCACCTGCCAGGGGCTGTCGCCCTGTTTGGTCAATGTCCCGTTGACAATCCTTGGGTCCAGTAAGTCCACTTGGTCTGTGTCCCGTTTTACATTAGTGCGCTTTTTCTCTACTCGTTTCCCCAGCTTCCCACATGGGAAACTTACTGAAGAAAGAGGGAGATGTTAAGGGGTGAGTCAGATACTATTCCCTCCTCTTTGGGTCCTTTTCCTGCAGTAAACTAGTTTACCACATTGAAGCAGCCCATGGATAAGTAATGCTTAGGGTACCTAGTATTTGCAGGTAATCCACTGTGGTCAGTCAGACAACAAACAGTGCCACCTAATGACCAAGAAGCAGTACCACATAATTATGCCCTTGTATAGGTTGTTAAAACTTCTCAGATTATTGTTACATGTCAGCTACATGTCAGCAAGGCTTCCTGCTGGGGTGCTGACAGGGTCCTGACAGAGGGAAGACATTCTTAGGAGAAGCCTTGAGCACAACTATGAAGTCTGTCTTCCCAGAGGTGAGAGCACATTATAAAGAACCAAGGACTGGGACTGGAAAGGTGGCTCAGTGGTAGAGTGCTTGCCTTGCATGCATGAGGCCCTGGGTTCGATTCCTCAGTACCACATAAGCAGAAAAGGCCGGAAGTGTCACTGTGGCTCAAGTGGTAAAGCACTAGCCTTGAGGTGAAGAGCTCAGGGACAGCACTTAGGTCCAGAGTTCAGGCCCCACAAGCGACAAAAAATAAAATGAAATAAAAAATAAAACAAGGACTGACTGGTCTCAGGGTCTGCTCTTAATGGGCCTTGAATACCAGGTTGGAGGATCTAGTACAAAACTGTGGGACACCATCAGCAGGCAAAGATACAAGGATAAAATGGAAAGGAGACAGCAGCAACAAAGGTCCAGAAGCTAGACAACAGATGGACATGGTAACAGACTTAATAGACTGAGAATGCAGTCCATGCTGCTGCCCATGACAGGGTGTTCAGAAGCTTTTTTGCACCACAGCCCCTTAGGAAGAGCACTGCAAGTACCACTATGCATGGTGGCCTGGTGAGATTTGGCAAGAGAAACTGCAGTAGCTGCCTGTGGTGTTGTGTGATTATAATTTCAGCACTCAGTAAGTAAAGGCAGGAATGTCTGGGGTTCAAGGTTAGCCTGGCTACATTGTAGGATCCTGTCTCAGGTAAACAAAATATCAGGGTTGTGGGAGCAAGAGAAATCTAGAGACAGACTGCTAGAACTCTCCTCCATGGCTTGGCTCTCCCTCCCTCACACAGGGTACATTAGAGGCTATGATCTGAGGACTGTTGGTTGCTCTACCAGGGTAGCATGCTTGGCTGTCCATTGGGAGTCAGAAGCCAGTTCTTCTGCCCACCCTGCTCCAAAGAAGTTGGTATAGGAAAGCTCCAACAGCCTTCCAGAGTTTACTACACAACCCACCTAAAGAGAAAGCCCTAAGCATTTGCACCCCACAAAGGTGCCCCTGGTCTTCTGATAACCTTACAAGACAGTTGCCGCCACGTGCACCAGGCACTTCTTCAAAAAGTCCTGCAAAACTCTAACCATTTAAAAATACAAAGCTTAAAAAACATTTTCCAGTAAAACCACTGGAATATAAAGTTGTAAAAACCTCTCTGAAGAAACGAAAGTCAAAGAGACAGAAAATAGAAGAGAGAACCCAAAGCAAGAGAAAAGAGAGGAATTATGAGAGGTCCAGAAAAAGAATAAAGAAAAGAAAGGGGAGATTGCCAACGATTTTTTTTTTTTCTGTGTTAGTCCTGGGGCTTAAATGCAGGGCCTGGGCATTATCCCTGAAATTTTTACTCAAGAATAGCACTCTACCACTTGAGCCATGTGTCCATGTTCAGCCTTTTGGCAGTCTATTGGAGATAAAAGTCTCACAGACTATCCTGCCTAGGCTGGCCTCAAACTGTGACCCACAGATTTCAGTCTCCTGAGTAGCTAGGATTACAGGAGTGAGCCACCAGCATTTAACAAATCATCCCCTTTGAAAGGGTAAACTAGGGGCACTGTATGAGCAATAACAAAAAAGACCCACACCATAAAAAATGTGCTGAAAATCATAGTAAAAATTGTCAAGGGCTGGAGATGTGGTCCAGCAGTACAACACTTGACTGGTAAGCTCAAGGACCTGAGTTCAAATCCCGGTGATACCCCCCTCAAAAAAATCAGTAAATGGGCAAATAAGCTAATGAGACCTCTTGGAAGAAGTAAACAAGGCCAATCAGTAGACACAGGAACAAATGCTCAACACCTCTGGCCATAAAGGAAACACAAATCAAACTAATACATTGAGCCAGGTGCTGGTGGCTCATGCCTATCATCCTAACTAGTCAGGAGGATGAGATCTGAGAATTTAAATTAGAAGCCAGCCCAGGCAGGAAACTCTGTGAGACTCTTATGTCCAATTAATCACCAAAAAAAGCCAGAAGTAGCGCTGTGGCTCAAGTTGTATAGTACTAGCCTTGAACAAAATAGCTCAAGGACAGCACCCAGACCCTGGGTTCAAGCCCTAGGACCAGCCCACCTGAGTTACAATGGCGATCATCAAGAATACAAACACAACAGATGCTGGCATGGATGTGAGAGAAAAGGAACCCAAGCACAGTGTTGATGGGAATGTAAACTTGTTCAACCATTCTGGAAAGCAGTTTGGAGATTCCTCAAAAAACTAAACATAGAATGATCCTATGATCCAGCAATGCCACTCTTGGACATTTATCCAAAAGTTTGCCAATCAGGATAGGGTAAAGCCATTTGCACAACAATGTCTATTGCTGCACTATTCACCATAGCTAAGGTATAAAATCAGCCTAGATGCCCCTTGATGGACAAATGGATCAAGAAAATGGGGTATGTATATACAATGGAATTTTACTCATCCATTAGGAAGGATAGTATGGTATCATTTGCAAAGAAATGTATGGAACCTAGGGGGTGATGTGAAGTGAAGTAAATCATGCCCAGAGAGACAAAGGAAGCATGTCTTCTCTGACATATGGAAGCTAAAACTCATTTATAATGTACAAGAAAACACAAATGTGGGGTTGTATGCAAGTGTACCAATGTATGGTACTAGCAGGGGAGAATTCAAATGGTCTAATTCCTTAGAAAAATGAACTCACAGCCCACTAAAATGAATGCTAGAAAAATGGCATTTAAAAGGTGTGTGGGGAGCTCAAAGGGAAGAGAGCAGACATGAGAGAGGGAGGGGGGAAGTATGAAGTCATAATATTCAATTCATACTTTATGAAATTAAGAAAAATTAGGGGAGGGGTTGGGTTGGGAATAATGGGAGAAAATAAGAAAAAGGGGACATCAGTCAAGATTCATTGTACCCATAAATTGATATGTTGAATGTTAAACTCCCTTATACAACTACTTAAAGGTAATAAAACTACAACTTAAAAAAAGTTCCTGGCGCCAGTGTCTCATGCCACTCAGGAAGCTGAGACTTGAGGATCAAAGTTCAAAGCCAGGCAGACAAATATGAGATGGTTATCTCCAATATACCAGCAAAAGGGCAGAAGTGGGGATGTGGCTCAAGTGACAGAATGCCATTCTTGAGCTGAAACGTCAAGCAAGAGCACAAAGCCATAAGTTTAAACCCCAATAGCAGCACCCCTGCGCGCACATGCACACATTGTAAAAGTCTGACTTCTTAAACTATATATAAATAAATTGCACAAAAATTAAAACTCATGGGCTTGGAAGGTGGCTCAGTGGTAGAGCGTTTGCCTTGCATATAGGAGGCCCTGGGTTCAATTCCTCAGCACCACATAAACAAAAAAAAGAAAAAATCTGGAAGTGGTGCTGTGGCTCAAGTGGTAGAGTGCTAGCCTTGAGCTGAAGAGCTGAGGGATAGCGCCCAGGCCCAGAGTTCAGACCCCATGACCGGACCCCCCCCCCCAAAATTAAAACTCATAAAAGAAGGTAGAATCCAGCTCATTCTTGAGAGGCAAGAATAATTATGGAAGTAGGACAGGTGTTCAGCAGTGTGGCCTAAGACAATAAGAGCATTCAGATTGGATGGAGGAAGAGGATGCTGGTGGCCTGAGACTGGGAAGATGAATGTGTACCAGGAGGTGCCCATAACTGAACAGGGACTCCTGGAGACAGGCAGGCAAGCAAGAGACTCAGCAGAGGAGGAGAATAATGGGAGGGGTGACATTGATCAAGATGTATTGTACTCATAAATTGCCATTAAATCTCTTTGTACAACTACTTAATGATTCTGTTGCACTCTCTCTTTCTGTGTGTGTGTGTGTGTGTGTGTGTGTGTGTGTGTGTGTGTGTGTGTGTGTGTGTGTGTGTGTGTGTGTGTGTACTGGGGCTTGAACTTGGCCTGGGCAGTGTTCTTCAACTTTTTAACTCCTGGCTGGTGCCCTTCATTTAAAAAAAAATAGTTTTAAAAAATAAAATAGAGATGGAGACAGAGACAGAGACAAAGACAGAGAGACAGAGACTTAGCAGAAAACTGGCCTGAAGGATCTCTCCCATCTCTGGTAGCTAGCACCAACAGCAGAAACAGCAACAAGGTTGGGGTAGAATACCTGCTGTAACCCTAAGGCTCACCATCCACTCCCTAGGAGCTTCCTGAAGCGAGGGTCCCTCCAGGCTGCTCACCTTTAGGCTTGCACTGCCGTTGGTCGTCGTCCAGCTCGTAGCCTGGCGCACAGCTGCAGCGGCGCCCATCCCCCTCTTCCTGGCAGTAGTGTGCGCAGCCTCCATTGTCGACCCCACAGTGGGAGAAGAGCACCTCTGCTCCGACAGGATGGGGCGGAGATCGGCGATGGTGCAGGGCGCTGGGGTCTCACCACCCTTCTGCCCTCCCGCCCATCGGGTACCCCCTTTACCCTGCTGGCAGAACTTGCCCTCCCAGCCCTCCATGCAGTTGCAGCTGAAGCCGCCCATGCCGTCGATGCACTGGCCATGCTCACAACACGCGTCGTCACACTGGTGGTCCAAGGGTGGAGCCTTGCACTGGTCACCGTCTGCAGATGGCCAGGTAAAGGATGGAGAATATGGGTGATACCAGCTCTTTGCTCCCCCCCCCACCAATCTTGCCAGTGGCCCAAATACCCAAAGGGTGCAGCCCAGCCAAAGGTGTAGCATGCACTCACCAAAGTACTTGGTCCAGAAAGACAGCTGCAAAGAGAGGGGATGAGTGAGGGGGTTAACCCAAATTCAAAGAGGATTCCACAAGCATCTCCCTCCTGGGTGTGGCAGGAGAGTACAAATGAGCAGAGAGAGCTTCCAAGCAGTAGGTTTCCTCCTTGCTCCCCTCTCGACCTGCCCTGCCCCTTACCTTTACCCCACAACAGTTTCCTCCCCCCACACACACACACACCTCATGCTCTCTGGGCTATGCCACAGTAGCTTTTGCAGCAAGGGACCACAACTCCCCACCCTCCTTCAATTGCTTTATCTTTTGCTAGCCCTCCTGGCTTTGGGGGACCCATCAAGTACCCAGTCTTCCCCAAGCCAGTGTTCTCAGAGTTGATAAGACATGGATAGCTGGCTCAGAAAGTCTGGGGCAGCATACTTCTAACTAGGACCCAGCTGCCAGCACTACTGTTGGCTCTGACCTCCAGACTGGAGGTGCCAGAACTTTCTACTCCAACTCTCCAAGATTCTGAATGGAGGTACTGAGTAAGTGGTCATGGGTGTTTCAGTCATACTTATTATCCTGACCAGCAGGTACATGGTCAGAAATAATGGATTATGGCCTTTTAGCCACATAGAGAAAGAGCCAGAGAGGGAAGACAGTGGTAAACATTGGAGGGAACTTCTTACACAGTAGGTAAATAGTATTTCAGCCTAGAACTGAGTCTAGAGCTGGTTGATGTAGATAGATGAGATCTCAGTCTAGAGCTGTGAATTCTGCTTTTCCTGAAGCTCATAGCAGAGTTCTGTCTTAAACTCCTGTGTGCCTTGACAAAAACCATAGAACAAGTGTCTACATCCCCACAACAAGCTAGGAAGAGAACAGGTTGGTGCCCACCCTACTCCAGATTCCAAAGAGGGCCTCAGCAGTGGTGCCCACCTGCTCCTCCAGGTCCTAGCTGGCCAGCAGCCCACCCCTGAGCCTCATCCTCTGGCCCCAGTGGTGGCCTTACTGTTTTGTCCACATCTTGGAAAATCTCGTTGGCCTCCTCGAAGTCACAGACCTCCTCCATGCATTCCCGCTCCAGGTTGCCTGGCCGGACCTCCTCCAGGAAGGAGTTAGAGCGTTTTTGGATCCGCAGCACCTGGTGGGCATGCTCACTGCTGGAGAACACTGAGTCTGGATGGGGATAAGGGGGCTCATTGTGGTAGAGAGAATTGAGAGGGGCCATGAGAGGATCTAAGGAAGCTGAGCTAGAGAAAGCCTTTGAGGCTTTGTCTCTGGCCTATAAGGACTAATTGTAATTCCTGATTATAATACTTGGCCCTGATTCTGTCTCTCCACACAAGAAAGATGTTCACTGAAGGACAGGAGCTTATACCATTCCAAGCAAGAGCTCTGAGACAGACTTCTCTTTGAACACCAACTGACCTCTAACTTCAGCTCTCTATACCTGTTTACTCATCTGAAACTGGAGGCGAGATGACTGTGAAAGCCCATAGTGACAAATCCCAATTGCTGCTGCTGAGTCTGTAGAGTTTAACTGGCCCTATTTGTTTTCCTAGTTCACTCTACAACCCTCTATTTCCTTGTCACTTGGTCCTCTCTCCCTTCACTTCCCCTTGAGCAGCAACACCTGGAGGACTGAATTCTGTTATCCAGTGTGTATTGTGTATCACTAAGTATCATCTAGACTCTGAAACATGTCCATATTGGTTAGGGAGATGACTAGAGGAAAGGATCACATTAGAAGAGTAAAGGACTGGGGGGAAAAGCAACCAGAAGATGTACCTAGCTGAGCCAACTAAGGAAGAAGACATAGATATGGGCAGGGTAGGGGAGCAAGAAATGGCATGTTAGGCAGACAAGCAGCACAAAGAAATCACATATGCAAGAGCAATCTGGAGTGGCTCTAGCACAGACCATCAGTCTCATCTTAGAAGACATCTGCTGCTTTCTATTGCCATGAGGGTGCAGGAAGTGCATGGGGCAGGGCAGGGAGGTACAGATGTACATTGTAGAAAGAAAGGCATTGTAGCTAGGCCCTTCACTGTTGAGGGAGGAAGTGGGTAGAATAGGAATGCCCAGGACACCCTGTTACACAGCCCAAACCATAACATCACCAGCCATCTGCCCCACAGCTGGCCAATCTAGGCCTTGGTAATTGATTCATGCCATTCCTGCCTGTTCCAAATCCTACCAAGGCTCAGAGTTGATGGGTAAGGTGGAAGGTTCTAGTAAGGCTTTATGCAGGCTTTGAGAGTTCCATGATGGAGTGAGGATGGCCTTACCAGTAGAGGCTGGCATGCCAGAAATTTCCCAGGTAGCCACGAACAGCAGAAGGCTTGTGAGCTGCCACATTCTGGAGTTGCTGACACCTGTCTGAGAGAACGTCTAAGTTTCTGGCAGCCCCAGTGCTGCTATGCCCACCCCCCCCCCAAAAAAAAAACCAGGAAGTTGAATGAAATGGTTAGCTCTCTAGGATCACTGTCAGGGTGGAAGTTTCCTTTGGGCATCTTTGCTTGTTCACTAGACAGCTATCTGGCTTTCCATCTCCTTCTCTGTATGGGCTAGGGTCACAGCACTTGATAAAGAAAAAAGGCTGCAGAGTCCTTGTGAAGATCAAGGACTCAGTTCAAAAGGCCAAGTGGAGAAATGAGATGTGCCCCTTCTTTTTTTTGGGGGGGGTGATGGTGGCAGGGTAGGGTATCTATGCCTTTGTTGGTCTGATAACTGAGCTACTAGAAATACTAGTAGATACTGACGGCACACAACTCAGTGCAAGCCATGAAACTAGATGACCTAGGGAAATTTTCTATGCATTTTCTATGGCAGTGATAAGAAGCGCATCTGCTTGGGCATCTGCTTCCTCCTTTGTAAAATGCATAGTCTATGGTCTGCCTTAAAGAGGGAAGCCTGAGCTACATAGTGAGACTCAGGGAAGAAAGAAAGAGAAAGAGAGAAGGAAGGAAGGAAAGGAAAGAAGGAAGGAAGGAAGGAAGGAAGGAAGGAAGGAAGGAAGGAAGGAAGGAAGGAAGGAAGGAAGGAAGGAAGAGAAGGAGGGAGGGAGGGAAGGAGGGAGGGATGAATAGAGGGTAGAAGGAAAGAAAAGGAAAGAAGAGAAGAGAAAAGAGAAGAGAAGAGGTCAAGTCCACAAACAAGAGGAGGCAGATCTGCAGATCTAGGACTCAAGCCAGGTCTGTACATTTATGTGGCTCCAGACCTGGAACTTTAACCTCTTCCCCAAACTGCTGGATGCCCTGCCCTGCAAGGCCACAGAGGCTACTCTACCTTTGGAAACCGATTTATCCCCAAGACTGGATGGGCAGGCCTCACTACCCCAGCTATACGCTGCCTGGCCTCACTTTCTCCCTTTGTCAACTTCCTCAAGGTCAGTGTGACGTTCAATCAGACTTTTAAATCAGATATCCTGTGTTTAGAAGTGGGGGTAAAGTGGGGATAGAAGGTCTTGGTTCCAAGATGCCTGTGGGGATAGCCAAGGGCTGGTGGGAACCCCCGGCTGACTTCTACTTGACCCACAGTCTGGAAAGGAGGACCCTTAGACTATGCTACTTGTGCCTGTAAGTGCCAATCCACATCTTGGCCTAACCAGTGTCAGGGCCCTCATTTCCTTTGACCCTGAGCTCTAGATGACTGGGAGAACCTTGTTCAAGAATTTCACCCCTTTACCTGATCAGCTCTCTCCTCCTCCCTCCAAACTCTCTCACAGTGTTGCCTTGAAGGGGGACTTACAGTGGTGAGCCGTAGAGAAACTGCAAGTTCGCCCTCCTGCCGCCATGACAGCCTGGAAGTTGGGTTAATCCGTAACCACAAATATTTGCTTGGCCCTCAGTGTTGAGTCTCCCTCTCCCCAGACAAACAAATGGTGCTGATGACATTCCTGATCTTGGCTCCTAATGAGTTCATTTGCCAAAGCTCATCTCTGCTCACCATGGAAGCTGATCAGCAAGGAGGGAAGTAAGGTTTGGACCCACTCAAAATCACTGGCATAATGGGTCTTGTTTTAGTCTCATAATGATTGCTAGTAGGGAAGATATTGCTACTATTTTGCAGGCGGGGATATTTCTACCCAAGATAATTGGTTTGTCCATGATTAGTATAGCAATCTTGTCAAATCTAGGATGCTGTTAATTATAAAACACACTTATTTATGTGCCATTATATAAAAACACATTATGGGTTTTCTTTAAAAAAATCAACACATGTGTTGATTACACAATGACATACCATTGCAATTGCTAACATGGGTTCCAACCACATTTGTGTGGACACTGGGTTGGACCCTCAACTCTAATTACTTGAGTGACCCCTGCACCCACTGCACTGGCTACTTTGCTGATGAGGACACTCTAATGAGTGTTTTATGTTGAGAACAGAAAAAGGGCCTGGCTGGGTTATCAGGACAAAGGCCTCCTCCTATGGAGGTCCTTTGGAGGCCTTGAACAGTCTTCTGTGCAGGCCCCTAGATATCAATAGGTGGGCCTATGGGCATAATACCATGGCCCATTGCCCTGAATGACACATGAGCAGTGAATTGATTGGATTACAGAAGTGTGCACCAGAATGGTACCTGGTAAGAGGGGCTAATCTACACATGGTGAGCTCATGCTGACTGCACAGAGCCTCTGATTAGGTCTTGGGACTGATATGATCCATGGTCTGTAGCTTTCTCTTTAAGACACCTTATTAACACTGAGCCACACACCCTAGGCAGTACCCTCCTTTGGGACTCCTGGCTAATGGGAGCTCTACTTATCTTTTCTTCAATATATCTTTGCCATTTTATTTCTCCCCCTGTGTTCATAGATTCATTCTTTGAGACCATAGAAACAAAAGACCAATATCAATGTCACTTGCTCAAATTCAGTGAGCTGGCCTGTGGCAGATATACATCAGAAAGAACTCTAAACTTCTGGCAGTACTTGGCTTCTGTGTGAGCAAGCAAGAAAAGAAAAACAGAACTGAGAAAAGCTGTAGGAGTCCACAGATGGGAGGTCAGAGAGGAGAATGGCAGAAAAGAAAGGTCCAAGTTAGAGTCATTGCTTGTGTCCTGCAGTCCCTAGGAGTAGAGCCTTCCTTGCTCCCTTGCTGCTCTGTAAGTGCTCGATGCAAAAGTTTGAAGCCAGGGCCCAGAGGTAAGTTTGTTCTCACACCAGGTTCAGAAACTCTGAAGACAGGTACTGGAGAAGTGTTGGGTAGGTGATGATAGGAGGGAGATGAAGGATGTAGTAATTAGAATTGAGCCTGTAAAACATGGACAGCCAATAGCAGTTTGTAAAGGGCTGCCTGGAGAAGGGAGAATGAGTTCCTGGCAACTCAGGGGGGAAGCATGAAGGCCAAGGGTACCAGAAATACACAAGAACTTGTAGATGCTTGAGGAACTTTTTGATTAGTTTTTGCAGTGCTTGGTCACTAGTAATAAAAAACAGTGATCTCTATAAAGCCTGTTGCACTACTGGTCTGCAGCAGGCAACATTTGCTAGAGTTACATCTCTACAGCAGTACACCACTGATTCTTCTTGGGCTTTTGTTCATAAACTCAAATAACAGCATCTATGGACAAGAAAGGGTAAATATGAAGGTCTGGAATTTATTCAGGTAAGAAGAAATAGAGCTCTCCTTGGATGAGATGGGTTCCGATAGAACATTGCTAATGAAGTGGCTGTGTATAATATATATATATATATAACCTATATGCATATATATATTAGGCTAATTGATTGTACCCTGTGCAAAGGAGATATAAGACAACTAAGAAGAGACTTGTGACGTCAATTGGTGCTTTAAACTGTGGTCCTCAATCAAGTCCATCCTGCTGTATTTCCCACAGGATCATGGGGAAGCTAATTAGGATTAATGAAGGGAGGATATTCAATTCCCTGCTGCTGTAGTTTTTGAAGTAAACTTACAATTTCTGAGGTCTAGTCTTGGTTTGTTAGGTTAACAGTACTTTTATATTGGAAGGCTTTTCCAGGGGTCCAAAGCCCTGACTATTTTTCTGAACTAATTTCATCTATTCACTCGGTAAATGCTCTAGCCCTGAGCTTCACCCTAACTTCCTAGGATCTTGTAAAAATGCCTCCTGTCCATGTTCTCATCCCAGGTGTCCTCCCCTACAAGTCTACAGCCGTCCTTTAGCTGCCCTACCTACCAAGAACAAGGTGTTGTGGGTATTCATCAGGGGCTGCTTCCTCTCTGCCTTGTTGCCCAACTTAGCATGTGATCAATTCCATGTCAAGTCTACCTTGGCAGGTATGGATCCTAAACCTGAATAGTGAGTTGTATCTGAGGACACGCCCAAAGAAGCCCGGATGCTCAGAGCCCTAACACCCCTGCTCACTAGAGCTGCTGCAATGTTTCCAAATGACTAGTGCTAGGAAATTGCAATGTCTGGCAGGCTGCCCAGAGGAGTTTCCAGGACTTTCTTTCACGAGGAAGATGTCGGCCAATTGGGGTTCTGCACCACGGACTATGTCATCGGTGTGCAGCGCAAAACTCCGGTTCCCCACGCCATCTTCCCCGGAAGGGTAGGTGTAAGCAACTAGCCATGCCTGAGTTCCGGAGCTTTGCAGGCAGCACCTCCTGGAATCGAAGGGCCCGCTCTCGCCCCGCCCCGTTTACCTGCAGGCTTCCAGCAGAGGGCGCCCGCTGCAGTCCCAAATGGATTCTCAGCGGCTTCAAGAACAGGACTAATTGGTCTTGTCTGGCCAGATGGGTCCCCCGAATTCAGCCAGGCCAACCCTAAATACCAGAGCAGGACTTGAGCAGCTAAGGCCCTCTAGTCTCAAGGGCAGAAGGACATATTAAGATCGAGAACACAGTATGACTAAGTACTCATGTAAAGAAATAAAAAGTAATGAAGGGTGGTGGTAGTGGTCAAAATGCTCAAATGGCACTAGCAGTGGGGTACTTTGAAAGCCTCATCTTTACAGGCAGGCTGCGAGAAGTTTAAGTCTCAACTTAATTCCTTCCTCGTTGGTTTGTTTAACATCCTAAGTCTTTCTACATCTTTAAAATGAAACCCATAATAACACCCCCTCTCTTTTTCTTCCTTCCTTCCTTCCTTCCTTTCTTCCTTCCTCCCCACCTCCCTCCCTTCTTCCTTCCTTCCATCCTCCATCCCTTTTTTCTTCCTCCCTTCTTTTCCTATCTTCCTATCTCTTTCTCCTCTTTCTTTCTCTTTAACTTGCCCTCACTCTGTCTCCTTTTTTTCTTTTTTTCTTTTTTTTTTGGGGGGGAGGGTCTGGTCATAGGGCCTGAACTCTGGGTCTGGGTGCTGTCCTCAGCTCTTCAGCTCAAGGCTAGCGCTCTACCACTTGAGCCACAGTGCCACTTCTGGCTTTTTCTTTTTGCTTATGTGGTGCTGAGGAATTGAACCCAGGGTCTCATGAATGCAAGGCAAGCGCTCTACCACTCAGCCACCTTCCCAGCCCCTTTTTTTTCTTTTGAGGTAGGGTCTCCCTATGTAGTTCAAATTGGTCTTAAACTTACAATCCTGCCTTGGTTTCCCAGTTGCTAGGATTATAAACATGTATCACTGCAACCAGTTTACCTTGCTTCCCTATCCCTCACCATCTATCTTAGAAATCCAGGAATTTGTCATCGCAAGATGGTGTTTAACAGATGTAGGACTTTTACTGCTAAAATTAAGACAATGGCAGGTAAACTGGTATGATTGGTTACCCTGTATATTCCTAAAATCCAGAAAAGTCTTAATTTAAAAAGCCTCAGGACCAGAACAAAAAGTAAAATAAAAAATAAATGTAAAAGAATAGAATACTTTTGTGTGTGTGTACTGGTCCTGAGGCCTGATCTTGGGGCCTGGGCATGCTCAGTTGGGTTTTTCCACTGAAGTCTGGTGTTCTACCACTTAAGCCACAGTTCCACTTCCAGCATCTTGGGATTCAGAATCTCACAGACTTTCCTACCTTGCTGTCTTCAAACTGCAATCCTTCTATCTTGGGTAGCTAGGATAACAGGCTTAAGAGGTTTCAGTTCAATATGTCAATTAATGAGTACAACGACATCTTGATCAGGGAACACCTCCCATTTTTCTCTTCCACCTCCCCCCCCCCTTTTTTTTAAAGAATGTCCCATCATGTGCCCAGGCTGACCTTGCTTGAGCTCAAACAAATCTCCCACCTTAGCCTTTAGCCTCCCCGTTGCTAGGACTACAGGGCCAGGCCACCACCATGCCTTAGTATAAAGTGAATACTGAGATAAAATAAGGTGCCTTATCACAGAGGAGGAAACACCAATCATGTTTTTCTCACATTGTTTTATTAATCCTACTAAATATTACCCATTGGCATTGTGAACTAATCCTATTATGTAAGTCATCCCATTTAGCAAAAAAAGAACACCGTGTATGTAATGTCGTGTAAACACCAGTTTCTCAAGCTTTAATGCCCTTGATCATGTATGATTTAAAATACACAATTTTCACCGCGTTACAATCTGAACGTGACGTTGGGGGTTCGGGCCTGAGTGACAATCTGGGTAGAATCTGTAACCTCCCCTGTCCCTGAACACGTGCCCGTCTCCTCTGCCAGCGCGCGGTCCCTCCCGCCCGGGGCTGCAGGCGGGCGCGCTCGGGTTCGGTTCGGCTACAAGCCAGAGCCTAAGCAGACAGGACGCAGGGCGGAAGGGGCTCTCAGCGCTCTCCCGAGAGGCCTTCCCGGAGGAGGGGACCTGGCGGCTCCAGATGGGAGAGCGGCCCCACCCTGCCATGGTCCCAGGTGCGGTCGCTGGGCTGCAGACCCTAGGCGAGTCCCGGCCTCCCGGA